TTGTTGATGTTCCAATTTTTCGACTTTTCGAATTTTTAAATTCTAGTTTTTCATGTCTTGATTTTTCGATTTTCTAGTTCTTCGGTATTTCTCTATTTTTACGAATTTTTAAATTGTAAAATTTTTGGAATTTTTGATGTTTCGATTTTCCAAATGGTCGATTTTTCTCTTTTTCGATTCTTCGATACTTCGATTTTCCGAAAAGCATTTTTTCTCGTTCGTTACCTTATCTTTCAATTTTTCGACATTCTAATTTTCGACTTCTTGGTTTTAGATTTTTCAATTTTTCGTTTGTTCAATTTCCCGATTTTCAATTTTTTGATTTTCCGATTCTTGATGTTCCAATTTTTCGACTCTTCTATTTTTTCATGTTTCGATTTTTCGACTTCTCGGTTTTTCGATTTATCCATTTTTGTTTATTTTAAATCATTCAATTTTTAATTTTTTTTATTTAAATTTTTCAGTTGTAAACTTTTCGATTTCTTAATGTTTCGATTCTTCGACTTCTCTACTTTTGATTTCTGGATCTTTTGATTTTTCAATTTTTCGGCTTTGGATTTCACAATTTTTCGTTGTTTAGATTTTTCAGTTTGTCGACTTTTTAAATTTTGGATTTTTCGATTTCAAGGTTTTTCGATTTTTTACTCTGTCAATTTTTCCATTCTTCAATTTTTCAATTTTTTAAACATTTTTCGATTTTCCCGTTCTTCGATATTTCTCTATTTTTACGATTTTTTGAAGTTTAGATTTCTTGGTTTTCTTCAACATTTCAGTTTTGAGAATTTTTCAATTTTTCAATTGTTCGGTTTTTCTCTTTTTAAAATCTTTTGCTTTCTCAATTCTCGAATTATGGACATTCCGATTTTTCAAATTTTTTAATTTTAGGTTTTTCTATTTTTTGATGTTTCAATTTTTTGATCTTTCGATTTTTCGACTTCTTGGTTTTCCGATTTATAGACTTTTGGGTTTTTCGACTTCTCGAGCGTTTGATCTTTCTATTTCTTAATGTCCCAATTTTTCGATTTTCCAGTTCTTTGGTATTTCTCTATTTTTACGAATTTTTGAAATTTAGATTTCTTGAGTTTTTTCATTATTTCAGTTTTGGGAATTTTTGAATTTCTCGAATTTTTAAACCGTAAAATATTTTTCTCGTTATCTTATCTTTCAATTTTTCGACTTGGTTTCAGATTTTTCGATTTTGATGTTCTAATTTTTCGACTTTTCGATTTATCAATCTTCCAATTTTTCAGTTTTTCAACTTATCAATTTTTCTATTTTTTCATGCTTCGATTTTTCGACTTCTCGGTTTTCGATTTATCCATTTTTGTTTATTTTGAATTATTCAATTTTTTATGTTTTTATTTAAATTTTTCAATTATAAACTTTTCTGGATTTCTTAATTTTTCGATTCTTCGACTTCTCGACTTTTGATTTCTGGATCTTTGGAATTTTCAATATTTCGGCTTTGGATTTTATAGTTTTTCGTTGTTTAGATTTTTCAATGTTTGGATTTTTCTGTTTGTCGATTTTTAAAATTTTGGATTTTTCGATTTTCGACTGCCAATTTTTCGATTCTTCGAAGTTTAGGTTTCTTGATTTTTTTCAACATTTCAGTTTTGGGAATTTTCCAATTTTTCCAATTTTTAAATCGTAAGATTTTTGGAATTTTCAATTTTTCAATTTTTAGGTTTCTGGATTTATCAAGATCTTCATTTTTCATTTATTCAATTTCCCGATTTTTAAAATTTTTTGATTTTCCGGTTTTTCGACTTCTCGATCTTTTGATCTTTCGAGTTCTCGATGTTCAGATTTTTCGACTCTTCGGCTTTTCGGTTTGTACGACTTTTTGGCTGGTCAATTTTTCAAGTTTTCGATCCTCCAATTTTTTAATATCTTAATTTTTCAATTTCTCGTTTTTCCGATTTTTGAAGTTTAGATTTCTTGACATCTTGGATTTTAGATTTTTAAATTTTTTCCACTTTTCCATTTTTCAATTTTTCAGTTTAAGGAATGTTTCGATTTCTCGAACTTTCAATTTTTCGACTTCTTGGTTTTAGATTTTTAGATTTTACTATTTTTCAATTTTTATGTTTTTGGATTTGTCGAGATTTGTTCAATTTCCCAATTTTTTAGTTTCATTCAGATTTATAAATTTTTCGGTCTTTCGACTTTTCGATTTATTAATTTTTCGAATTTTTAAAATCTACATTTTTCTATTTTTTCATGTTTTGATTTTCCAGTTTTTCGGTATTTCTCTATTTTCACCATTTTTTTAAATTTAGATTTCTTGATTTTTTCAACATTTCTGTTTTGCGAATTTTTCAATTTTTCTCTTTTTAAAATCTTTTGCTTTCTCAATTCTCGACTTTTGAACATTCCGATGTTTCAATTTTTCGATTGTTCGATATTTCAACTTTACTATTTTTCAATTTTTAGGTTTTTGGATTTATGGAGATTTCGAGTTTTCATTTGTTCAATTTCCCGATTTTTTAATTTTTTGATTTCCGATTTATAGATTTTTCGATTTCTCGATCTCGTGACCTTTCGATTTCTTAATGTTCCAATTTTTCGACTTTTCGATTTATGAATCTTCCAATTTTTTCAGTTTTTCGAATTTTTTATTTTAAATGATTCAATTTTGTCTTGATTTTTCAGTTTTTTGATCTTTTTAAATTTTGGATTTTTCCATTTTAAGGTTTTTCGATATTCGTCTTGTCAATTTTTCGACATTCTAATTTTCGATTTTTCTATTTTTTCATGTTTTGATTTTTCAGTTTTTCGGTATTTCTCTATTTTCACGATTTTTTGACGTTTAGATTTCTTGATTTTTTCAACATTTCGGTTTTGCGAATTTTTCAATTTTTCGAATTTTAAAATCGAAAATTTTTGGAAATTTTTATGTTTCAATTTTTCAATTCGATTTTTCTCTTTTTAAAATCTTTTTTTTTCAATTTTTAGGTTTTTGGATTTATGGAGATTTCGAGTTTGCATTTGTTCAACTTCCCGATTTTTAAATTTTTTGATATCCGATTTATAGATTTTTCGACTTCTCGATCTCGTGACCTTTCGATTTCTTAATGTTCCAATTTTTCGACTTTTCGATTTATGAATCTTCCAATTTTTCAGTTTTTTTATCTTTTTAAATTTTGGATTTTTCCATTTTAAGGTTTTTCGATATTCGTCTTGTCAATTTTTCAATTTTTCGATTCTTTAATTTTTCAATTTTTGAAACATTTTTAGATTTTCTCTCTTTTCAAGAGTTTTTTGAAGTTTAGGTTTTTTGATTTTTTCAACATTTCAGTTTTGGGAATTTTTGATGTTTCGATTTCTCAATTGTCGATTTATCGATATTTCAGTTTTCCGAAAAACATGTTTTCTCGTTGGTTATCTTATCTCTCAATTTTTCGATTTGTTTGTTTTAGATTTATCAATGTTTCGATTTAGCTATTTTTAAAATTTTTCGGTTGCTGAAGTTTTCAATTTCTCATTTTTTCAACATTTTTGGGAATTTTTCAATTTTTCGATGTTTTAAACATTACATGTTTCGTTGGTTATCTGCTTTAAATTGCTACCTTTGCACTCCATAACGACCTCGCAAACATCGTGTTTGTATTGCCACATAATTTTTTTAACCAGACATTTCTCTTTATCTCCACTATTTACTTTAGTACATAATTCAAATTTGCGTGTACACACTCTAGTGAATGAATGTGTATTTTTACTCATGTTTAACTTTTGATTAATATAACTGTCAACAAATATTTGAAATAATTTTGGCAGTTAATAACGACTTACAATCTTATCACGCTGTGCAAATATTTGACTAGTAGAAGTGTGATAAATGAGAAAAAATAAATTTTACACAGTAAGTAAACATTAAATAATTGCCGGAGATGAGTACAGCGAGTTTTTGCGTAGCGTGTGAGGCCCGCTTTAGCACAAAATATGCCACACGTGTCACAAATAATATACAATTAGCATAACCTACCATTATTCAATTGTATCAAGCAATCATATTATAGATGTCAGATTTGAAAGTACTATAGTTGAAATATTTGCGACTTAAGAAAAATAATTTTCCAAAATCGATTAAAAATTTCGCGAGACATCCGTTAGTGTCATCTGGTGTGCTTTCTTTTTTAACAGCAACTCGTTACATATTCATTCGTCCAGTCCCATCTGTTCGACGAACTTACCTTATAAAAAATTTAATTGTTTCATCATTCTTCAGCACCTTCTATTTGCTTTTCGATTAGCAGCGATTAGTACGATTTTGCAACAATGTTTTTATTTTACAACTTCAAAGTCTCGATCCGTGACAATCTATTTAGAACGATTTTAACCGACGAGTTTTTTCTCCACTAATTACCATAATAACGAGGTTTATCATCGCATGTTGCACGAGCTATCGGACGTTAATCCCGCATTCTGGTGTTGACAATGAGCATGAAATGATGCAACTGCGCCTTGTAAATGTGTTTAATCAAACTCGGGCTACATTTTCGAAGCGTGCAAAAATCGGCTTCAATTCTTGTAAAACATCGATTCAATTAGTAGGCGATTTAAATTCTGGCACGAACGTGAGCCATGACATTAACTTTTTATTCGTTCCAAGTGCGCCCAAACCGCCTCAATTTTTCACTTAACATTTCCACTCCGTCTATCCCAGAATAAACGGCATTAACGACTAGCAACTTCTGGATTACGTGGCCCAGTTTACATGCTAACGACTAATTTCCATGTAATTAATGTTAATTTTACATGCCTGTTAACCATCTCCAGATTATAAACCCCCGATAATTCTATTTCCGAAAGCAAAAAACGACGGAATTACTCCTTCGTCACACTCGGTAACAAGCACAAAAATAGTTATTCATTGCGATCGAGTTATTTAGCGTTTTTAACCTTGATATTTACTTCCTGAGTTTGGAAATAATACACATTGTGAGGACTGTTTTGACGCAAGAGCGACAACAAGTTAGTAACATTTGGGGACCTACCTCTGGCATTGGTCGCCGAGTCTGCAATCTTCTGGAATGCTTCCAAGTAGGCTGTGACCGCCAGGATTGTCGCCCTACAAACACGAAAGTCACTACAATCACGCAAAAAGTGCAAATCGAAACCTTGTACAAAATTCAACGCGCTTTAATTCGATTATGGGCCGAATTCGGCCTTCGCGCCACAAATCGATTTCGGATACTCACTTTAATGACGAGTGGAGCTTGGTGGCTTTGGCGATGAGGTCCTCCCAAAGGGGCATGCCGTTCTGGAAAAAAAAGAACCCAAAATTAATTAAGTTGGCAACCATGACCCTCTCAAATTGCGCCCACGTTAATGTCCTGCGTAATTGAATGACACGAGAATATCAATTTTTCGTTTCAAAAGCGAAATTAGTATTCTAATCAAAGATGACAGGACGCAGCTTAAGCTCGCTTCTTGTGGTAAATAAATTAAAATTCTTTTTACATCGAGTATGTTTTGTCACGTTTATTTATGCCGCCGCTTGTTAAATCCCCCGAGATAAGCTGTTGTATAACGGGCCTAGCACTTTCTGTTTATAATTTAAAAAATAAACACGTCTTGTGTAAACATTCGGATGTCTAAAGTTGGAAGCTCTAACACGGATTTAATTTACTAACGTCTTAATATGTCAGTGGTTTTGAGTAATTTGTTGTAAATATTTGTTTTGGGTGGGAAAGCGTAAAAAAGAACGGAAGGACCACACTCCGGTTTACGAATGCGGAGGTGAACGTGTGCTTGTACACTAATAGTAGACGGAATTTCGCTTTCTTCCAAAACATTTTTTCTTGACCCCTACAGTACGAAAAAAGTAGTCTTCCGTTTCAATAAACACTTGATTTTCGGATTGCTATTACCTAGTGATGGAGGACAAGGGGTGCTATTTATGCCTCTGGTTTTTAGTTTACAGCGGTTACCACGAAACAAAACTCGTAAAATCAAATTTTATAAATTTTTTAAAGACCTGGATTTGTCGGATTATTTTTTTATTGATCAAATTAAGAACCTCATTTTTTAGGTTTGCTCAAAAAATTAATGAATCAGTCAATTTATTTTATTGAATAAATCAAGAATTACAAAATTGAATACTTTCAAATCTTGCAGAAGTTTTAAAGTTATTGTAAGCTTGGTAAATTGTTAATCAAAATTTATGTGTTTATTCCCCCCCAAAAATTGATGACGTCAACTCAAAATTTTGCCAAAGTTTGCACTTAAAGGGTGTCAGGAGAAATCAATGAATGTCACATTGGATAAAAAATCGAGATATTTAAAATGTAATGTTTGAAAGTCTATTTTTCAAAATGTAATTTTCGTCCAATAAAACGAGTGACCAAAAAGAAAACCGCCACTTTGAATATTTTAAGCCTAATTCGTCTCTTCGTAGTAAAATTCAGTCTTCATCTAATCAAAAAAATTAATGAAATTCAAAAGAGGTGGTGGGTGGGACTAGTTTTACGTTTTTGGTCTAGATTTTGTCGTGACATTTATTGTTTTCTCCCCATCTGTTTACGTTTCACGTAGACATCCAATCTTTTCTACCCATTTTACAACATTTAAAAAATTTATTGAATTGGTGTGAAGTTATTAATAACTAAAAAATAAAAATGTGACATTCATTGTTTTCTCCCAACACCCTTCACTTGTGATTTATCATTGTTTTTTTAGATTTGCTTAAACAGGTGGCTCAAAAAAATTAATGAATGAGTCAATTTATTTTATTGATTAAATCAGGAACGGGTCACTCCATTTTCCCAGAAAATTTTGGGAATACAATACTGTTGGTCGCATTTTTTGTCTATTTTTGAAGATTTTTTGTTTATTTTTTCTTCGGGTTTTTGTAGTTTTTAATTTTTTGTCTTTTCCCTCTTTTTTTAATCGTTTTTTTTGCGATTTTGTGTCGTTCTTTCTTGGCATTTTTTCTTTCTCATTTTCGTTGCTTTTTTTGGTGGTCTTTTTTCGGTTTGTTTGTAGTTTTTGCAAGTTTTTGTTTTTTTACTTTTACTATGGCTTTTTTTGTCGTATTTTTCTTAGATCTTTTTATTGCGTTTTTGGCGTCATTTTTCCGGGGTTTTATCCCCGTTTTTATTTGCCTTTTTTCACTTTGTATTTTGTAGTTTTTTATGGTACATTTTGTTGTTTTTTTAAGTACAAATGAATAAAAGAGATGGCAAAAACCGAACAAAAACACGATAAAATACAGAGAAGAAGGAAACTGCAAGAAAATTTGCAACAAAAAATGCTACTCAAGAAAGGGATAAAAAAAAATGAGACCAAAAAAAAATCAAACATGCAATTAAAAAACAACGAAAAAACGAAGGAAAAACCAAAAAATTAAATCAGGAACGGCTCACTCTATTTTCCCAGAAAATTTTGGGAATACAATACTGTTAGTCACATATTTTGTCTATTTTTGAAGATTTTTTGTTTTTTTTTCTTCGGGTTTTTGTAGTTTTTAATTTTTTGTCTTTTCCCTGTTTTTTTTAATCGTTTTTTTTGCGATTTTGTGTCGTTCTTTCTTCGCATTTTGTCTCCCTCCTTTTCGTTGCTTTTTTTGATAGTCTTTTTTCGGTTTGTTTGTAGTTTTTGCAAGTTTTTGTTTTTTTTACTTTTTCTGTAGCTTTTTTTATCGTATTTTTCTTAGTTCTTTTTTATTGCGTTTTTGGCGTCATTTTTCTGGGTTTTTATTCCCGTCTTCATTTGCCTTTTTTCACTAATTTGTAGTTTTTTATACCGCATTTTGTTGTTTTTTTTTTAAGTACAATGAAGAAAAAAACGACAAAAACGGAACAAAAACGCGACAAAAAAATGCTACTCAAGAAAGGGAGTAAAAAAAAATCAGACAAAAAAAAACATGCAATTAAAAAACGACAAAAAAACAAAAGAAAAAACCGAAAACGCATTCAATCAGGAACGGCACACTCTATTTTCCCAGAAAATTTTGGGAATACAATACTGTTATTTTAATAGTGTTACACTACACAAACCAAGTTGTTGATGACGTCATCACAAAATTGTGCAACTAAAAAACTCAACTCGAAAATGCTGGATATGTTTCATTGTACTTCAGGAGCGAGGTAAGTTCTGTCAAAACAACTGATTTAGGTGTTGTTATGGACTGTAGTTTGTCATTTGCCCCACACATCCTGCATGTCACCAAGATTGCTATGCAACAGCTAGGATTTATTCGTCGTAACACCATGGATTTTGTTAACATACAATGTATCAAAATACTTTTTTATGCTTTAGTAAGGTCAAGAATGGAATATTGTTGCATTGTATGGAAGCCGTATTACCAAAAATATATTGACTTGTTAGAGAATGTCTTGCGCAAATTTGCAAAGTATTTATTTTTAAAAATGTATAATAGGTATCCAAGCAGACATTGTGATCAATCTAGCTTATTGTCTATTGTCAATGAACAATCTTTAATAAGAAGAAGAAATGCAGCTAGTTTAATTTTTCTACAAAAACTCACTTTAGGTCAGATATGTTGTCAGGAGCTTCTCCATGAAATCAAATTCAACATCCCAAGACAAATTAGCCGATGTCCAAAGTTATTTTATTTTGCTATACCCAATACTTTTCATCATTATAACTGTCCATTGATATATGCTTTTCGCTTATATAATTCTGTATGTGATGGTCGTCTAGATATATTTTTTCATAATTTTAGTAAAGCTAATGTAAGGAAACAATTGTTGGAATTGAATCATGTGTAAGTGTACCAATGTTGTGAGCATTATGTGTTTATTGTAAATTTAATATTGTTTATGTGTTTATTGTAAATTTAATATTGTTCCTGTGGTTGTATCCACTATGGACTATTTATTAGTCTGCTGGATAAATAAATATATTATTATTATTATTATTATTATTAATTTCCGAATAATTTTTTAAAAATGTAAAACTTTCTAGAGGGCGCCAAATGTATTTTTTTTAGAATAAGAAACCTTCTCGGGGCTCCCAATTGTCTTTTTAAAAATGTAAAACCTTCTCCGGGATCCCAAACGTCTGTTTTAAAAATATAAAACCTTCTCGGGGGCCCCACGTCTTTTTTTTTAATGTGAAACCTTTTCGGGGCTCCCAATTGTCTTTTTAAAAATGTAAAACCTTCTCCGGGATCCCAAACGTCTGTTTTAAAAATGTAAAACCTTCTCGGGGGCGCCAAATGTGTGTTTTTTATGTGAAACCTTCTCGGGGCTCCCAATTTTTTTTTATGTAAAACCTTCTCGGGGACCTCAAACGTCTTTTTTTTAATGTGAAACCTTCTCGGGGCTCCCAACTGTCTTTCCTAAAAATGTAAAACCTTCTCGGGGGCCCCAAATGTATTTTTTTTAAGAATGTGAAACCTTCTCGGGGCTCCCAATTGTCTTTTTTAAGAATGTAAAATCTTCTCGGGGGCCAAAATGTCCTTGTTTTAATGTGAAAACTTCTCGGGGTCCCAATTGTCTTTTTTAAAAATGTAAAACCCTCTCGGGGCTCCCAATTGTTTTTTTTATGTAAAATCTTCTCACGGGGGCCAAATGGCTTATTGTGAAATCTTCACGGGGGTTCCAACTGTCATATTTAAAAATGTAAAACCTTCTCGGGGGCGCCAAATGTCTGTTTTTTATGAGAAACCTTCTCGGGACTCCCAATTTTCTTTTTTTTATGTAAAACCTTGTCGGGGACCCCAAACGTATTTTTTTTAATGTAAAACCTTCTCGGGGTTCCCAACTGTCTTTTTAAAAATGTAAAACCTTCTGGGGGGCCCCAAATGTATTTTTTTAAGAATGTAAAACCTTCTCGGGGCTCCCAATTGTCTTTTTTAAGAATGTAAAACCTTCTCGGGGGCCCAAATGTCCTTGTTTTAATGTGAAACCTTCTCGGGGGTCCTAATTGTCTTTTTTAAAAATGTAAAACTTTCTCGGGGCTCCCAATTGTTTTTTTTTAATGTTAATGTAAAATCTTCTCACGGGGGCCAAATGGCTTATTGTGAAATCTTCTCGGGGGTTCCAACTGTCATTTTAAAAAATGTAAAACTTTCTCAGGGGCGCCAAATATCTGTTTTTTATGAGAAACCTTCTCGGGGACTCCAAACGTATTTTTTTTTTAATGTAAAACCTTCTCGGGGGCCCCAAATGTATTTTTTTAAGAATGTGAAACCTTCTCGGGGCTCCCAATTGTCTTTCTTAAAAATGTAAAACCTTCTCGGGGATTCCAACTGGCGTTTTTAAAAATGTGAAACCTTCTCGGGGCTCCCAAGTG